CCCCAAGGCTGCCACGCCGGCTGGCCTGGTGCTCCATCGACTGGGAGCAGGTGTGCTTCCTGCAGAGGCTGGGAGCTGGCGGCTTCGGCTTGGTGCACAAGGCGACCTACCGCGGCGCGCTCGTGGCCATCAAGCAGGTGCACCGGCGCACGCGGCACCCGCGGGCGGCCCGGCGCAGCTTCTGGGCGGAGCTCAACGTGGCGAGGCTTCGCCACGAGAACATCGTGGGGGTGGTGGCCGCCAGCACGCGCACGCCCGCCGGCTTGCAGAGCTCGGGCGCCATCATCATGGAGTTTGGTGGCGACGTGACTTTGCACCAGGTCATATACGGAGCCACGAGCGGCCCGGAGGCGCAGGACGCGGAGCCTCACTGCCGTGCGGGGGAGCAGTTCACCTTGTCCAGGTGTCTCAAGTACGCCGTGGATATCGCGAGCGGACTGCTTTTCCTGCACTCGCGAGGCGTTGTGCACTTGGACCTGAAGCCGGCCAACATTCTGATCAGTGAGCGGGACGTCTGCAAAATCGGCGACTTCGGTTGTTCGGAGAAGCTAGAGGATCTCCCGAGCTTCCGGACGCCTTCCCACGCTGGCGGCACGTACACCCACCGGGCCCCCGAGCTCCTGAAGGGCGAGGCCGTGACGCCCAAGGCCGACATCTATTCCTTCGCCATCACGCTCTGGCAGATGACTGCCCGGGAGGCGCCCTACTCCGGGGAGCGCCAGTACGTGCTGTACGCGGTCGTGGCGCGCGACCTGCGGCCCTCGCTCTCGGCGGCGGTCTTCAGGGGCTCCAGCCCCGGGAGGAGGCTCGGGGGCGTCATCCAGGACTGCTGGAGGGCCAGTGCCCCGCGGCGGCCGAGTGCACACCTCCTCCTGGCCCACCTTGGCTCGCTGAAGGCCGAATTCGCTGACCCGAAACCTGTATCAAGATAAGCTTTTGTCTTTGTCGTCTTTGTTTCTATTTATTTTTAAGGAAGATGTAGGGGAAAACATATCCGTAGGACATATTTTTAGAAAATAAAGTTATTAGAAACTCCTTTAGTCTCAAATGCTTTTTCTAAGAGCTACAAATCTAGTAGTGTTCTCAGTAGTTGGTAACTAACATTCCTTTATGGTTAGGTGCTTTGCCGTCTCAGCGAGTGGGCTTACTTTAACAGCTCCCTGGTATTGCATTTATTCGAATTTGTTATTGATAAAACCAAGCTGTCGAAAACTGAACTGAATTGTAAAATGCTAAAAGTTTCCCAAAAATTCTCCACCTGAGTTTAAACTATTAATAGTTTACTTGCTCCCATACCAAATAAGTAAAAACCTTTTTGGGGAAAGATTGTTTCCTGCTCCCTCCAAAAAAAAAATGTCTTGTGATGACTTTCAGATATAAAATTCACAAGTTGAGGTAAATTTATTTTTCTTATTTTTAAAAATATGTTTTTATTGATTTTAGAGAGAGGAAGGGAGAGGGGGAGAGAGAGAGAGAGAGAGAGAGAGAGAGAGAGAGAGAGAGAGAGA